CTAAACCTTGAGTGGCAAGGAGCAAGCAGACATGGAAAATACCATTGGCCCAGCAAATACCCTACCATGAGACTTAGACAAGCCTATTGCCAGCAGCCCTTAGTGATGTTACTATCTATAACCCAAGAGGTCATTCTGCACATCCAGTTCCAGCTCCAAGCCTTTTTCTCCCCTCTTACTTAGCCCTCTTTCCCTGGACTTCCATAGTTACTTCTTTGTAGAGCATCTCAGTTCAATCCTCTATTTCCAAGTGTATTTCAGTCTTTTGTCAAAAGGATTTAGTAATTCCACAGCAATATTCTTCCCAAAGAATCTTAACTGCCAGTTCTCAGACTTTCCAGTCCCAGTTAATATCTGGGGAATTTCTTCACAGAGCCTTTCAGCTGAATGAAGTGCTTGGCATTTCTATTGGTTAGGCAGTCTGGTGGTTTTCACAGGTTGGCAGACACCTCTGGTTCCCTCACAGTATTCCTGTGAGTGTGCTGAGGCACCCTAGGGCTCCAACTTGGGGACTATGGCTCTAAACCAATATGGCATCCAAGTCACAGTAAATGAAACTGATGATGGTGTCTGATCCAGATGGGAGACTGAATTGGTTTGGAGAGGACAGGGCTTCAAGACAGTACAGATCTCCCACCCTCAGACACCATCAACACCTCCCAGAACCTGAGGCAGAGAAGCCAACTACCCACTTTATCCTGGCTGAGAGCAATTTACAAGTTCATCTCCCAGTGACTTCCAAAGGGCTATGGGGTTAGAGTAGCACAGGGGAAAAAATATATAAAATGAGAGCAGGAAAGCAGTTCCTTCCTTGGTAAAAACCTTATAAATATGACTCATTAGTATCAGAAAATCTAAGGATGGGATCTCAACAAGTATCAAAAGCTGTGTAATCTGATGATGCAAATGGTTTCCAGTAAGGAGCCCAACCCCACAGCATGGAGATTCTCAACCGTGGCAGCAGACTAAAATTTGCTTAGCCAACTTTCAAAAACACAAGTGGCCAGGCCCCACCCACCTGGAGTCAGTCCCTGGAGATGCAACAAAGAACTCGCTAATTTTTAAAGCTCCTCAGGTGATTGCAAGATAACACCAAGATTAAGTGCTTGGTTCTAGGTCCACTGCCTCTACCTCATCTAGAGCCTTCTAGAAATACATCCTTGATATGGTGAATCAGTTCTCCATATTTTTACAGAGATCCTAAGTCATCTGTGTGCACTTTAAAATTTGGGATGTCCATCTAGCCCACACAGAATCAGAAAATATCAGTTCCTTCTGAGCCATCACCAAGCTCCTCCTGTGTCTTTGGGAGCCCTGGACATGTGTGGCCTGGCCTTGGCACCCTATGGGTTGGCCGTGGGCTATGGTGAGCCTTTTGAGTCTTGCACCCTCTGCCAAAGGGACTGAATATGATACGTAGAGCTTGGGAAAGTCTGGATTGAAACACCAGGAACACTGCTGTTTGTTCCTAGCTCAGTTCCCTTCATCCACTTCAGTTTCTTCCTAGGTGAAAAGGAAATAAAAATGCTCACATGCAATGCTTCAAAGTTGCATGGTGAACATCAACTGTCCTGTGTATGTGAAGAGCTCTTATTCTGAAAGTGCTGCTGTATGGCTCCGGAGGAGGATTGAAATAGAGGTTGTGCCCTCCTTTCTGCCCACCCTCCCTGCTCCCTACACAAGCAGAGGAAGCATGATGGTGAGCTCACCCTGCTCCCAGGCTTTGCTGTTCAGTGTAGTCAGTTTGCTAGCACAATTACTGCCTGAGACCTGGGTAGTCAGGTAGATCCTCAGGCCCCACAAGGCCTACAGAGTCAGAACCTGCCTTTCAGAAAGATCTCCAAGTGGCTCTTGCAGGGGAAACAATTCACACAGGAAATAAAATATGGCAAGTGTCAAAAACAAATGTTTATTTGATAAGCAAACCATCAAATCGCCTTGGTGGGTAACATCAAAATAAAATTGCATTACAAACTGCAATAAACAAACCCTGTGATGTTAAGACAGTGTCATCAGTTATATTGAATCTAGTCTCTTTAACATGACAAAAACAAAGAACAAAAAAGACGACAATGCTGAGTAGAAATCATTTAATGGCCTGCAGGTAGTAGGGGCATAGATGACGTTTCTCTAATGGACCCTATGCTATCTTGTAAGTCTTACCTTCCCTTTCCTCTCCAACTCACTCTCAGCCTGGATGATGTCCTCCTTGGGTAGCAGCTCAGACATGCAAACGAGAATACATCTTAGCTAGAGTTAGAGTGTAAGAAACCTCTACAAATCCATCTTCAGTTTCAAAAAGTGGTTCCAAAACAGGACAACTATTCTAAATACCACCTAAAGAAATCAGCTGTTCTTGTCCAACTGTCCAAGCATCTCAGCTCCAGGAACTTCTCCACAATGCTAAGTTGACAGGCACAGCTGGGGAGAATGCTGGTGATGGAGACAGTAGCACTATGGGAGCCCAGTGGCATCATGGGAGGACATACCTTTTCTTTTAAGATATATTTATTTTTATTTGCTTGGAAAGGCAGATTTTTCAGAGAGAAGGAGAGACAGAGAATAAGATCTTCCATCTGCTGGTTCACTCCCCAAATGGTTGCAACAGCCAGACCTGAACCAATCTGAAGCCAGAAATTTCCAGGTCTCCCATGTGGATACAGAAATTTCCAGGTCTCCAAAGGCTTTGAGCTATCCTCTACTGCTCTCTCAGACCATAAGCAAGGAGCTGGCTGGGAGGTGGAACAGTGGAATCGTGGTTGCTTGCAAGGGGTGGTTTAGCTGCAAGGTTGCTTGCAACTGAGCCATTACACCAGCCCAAGGACATAGCTTTGATGCATGCCTTGGATGAATGGTTTTAAAGCACTGCTTCCTCAATGACTGTTTGCAGCTTCTCAGACTCCCCTTCCTCCAAGAGAAAAGCACAAGTGAAATTTTCTGTGATTTCCTGAGATGAACAGAAAGGATGTGAACAGCTCAGCTTCCCCAAGAAAAAGGGGACTCTCTCCTGAGGACTCTCAAGGGAGTTGTAGGAGGAAGTGACACCTGGCCCTTGCCCTGTCAGCTTTGGGGGAAGCAGCCATCCAGGAAGTCAACACAAGACATGGCACTCTGGTGACAGAACAGAGCAAGTTCACAGCAGATGTAAGGTTGAGCACGTTCCACAAGGGCTGCGGTGTGGTTCTCATGACAATCTACCAGCAAGTATTGCATACCCGCTTTTTGTTTTTTTTCCAACGAAGATTGAGAATTATAGGGTGATTCTCACAGGCGAGTTAGTGGTCTGAAATCTTCAACTGGCAAAGTAGCAGAAGAGGGGGCCTCTCAAAGGGTCTGCCTGACTCAAGGGTTAAGGGTCTTCAGCCATTGAAAGACCACAATTTGTGTCTCAGTGATTCTTCATCTGTAGAAATGCTGGGAAGATATATAATGGAAACACCTCAGGGATGCAAAATAAACTGTTGGCCCACTCCCATTTAGGAGAGCAGCCACTCCCATTTCTGTGGTTTGACTGGTGTTGATGGAGTAAATTTCTAGGCAGGACAATGACTGGCCCCAGTACAACTGGGCTCTGTTCACTCTTACTGTTTCACATCCCATCACAGGTGGCTAGTGTCAGAGGAGTCATCAGAGAACAAGCAGGTCACTTCCTCCTGACCCAGAGAGGTCATTTCAGTGAACACTGACCTAACACCGGCTACAGTAAACCCCATAGAAAACACAGAATAAGTCATAGGTTAATCCTACACAAAGACACAAAAATTGTACTACAAGGAACTGCACTACAGCTGCCTTCACCCAAGCACAGGCCAAGGATGGGGACCACTCAGAGAGGAAAATGTCACTCTTGGCAAGGCTTTGAGGAAGGACTACTGGGTGGGAGGAGAACATAAGCCAGAATTAAGAATGAGGAAGGCTTGAACAGCAGGTGACAGAGAGTGCAAGTTAGTCCCAGCTAAAGGTATCACTTGTGAAGAGTGAGGATGACACTATATATGTGTTTATATTTATGTCTATATAATTATTTAACATAGCCACTAATCTGTAAGATAATTAACTACATCATAACATTTAAAGACTCTAAATAGATTGATCAGTCCCATATGGGGGCTCTTAACCTTCCCCACGCAAAATCTGAGCCTAGTCATTGATGAACGAGCTGTCTGCTGTATCAGACATGGTGGTAGAGGCAAGTTCCAGTTTAGGATTTCTCCTTCTAACCACAGCTGCATCACCTGCATGCCTAAGCCCCCCCTGACCAGTGTGGCAGTTGATCTCCCTCACTCAGGGAAGCTCCACTTGAGCAAACGGGGCCCCTCTGGCTTGTCCTCCACACCTCCTGCCATCTCCATCCTGTTCCTGAAACAAAGCTGTTACTCCTGAATGCTTCCTGCCTTACCTGTCATCCCTATCCCCCCACTGTCTTCAGCACCACCACAGCCAGGGCCTGAAGTGACTGAGATCCGTGTCACCTTATTTTTCATGGCAATGTGGCCCACTGGGAGAAGTTCATAAAAAAGGCTTATCCATATAATTATAACCAGTGATGATGGGGACAGTGCTGTGGCAGAGCAAGTTGGCATGCATCCCATATTGGAGAGCCATTTTGAATCCCAGCTACTCTGCTATCAATCCAGCTCCCTACTAATGCACCTGGAAAGGCATTGAAAGACTGCTCAAGTACTTGGGCCACTGGAACCTGTGTGGGAGACCTGGATGGAGTTCAGGCTCCTGGCTTCAACCTGGCCCAGACCTGGTTGCTGCAGTCATTTGGGGAAACGAACCAGTAGGTGAAAGATCTCTCCCACTCTCACTCTTTCCCTCTTTCTCTTTGTCTTTCAAATAGGTAAATATCTTTTTCAAATGTCACTGGTCATCATTAAGTGATTTTTTTTAAGATTTATTTTTATTAGAAAGTCAGATATACAGAGAGGAGGAAAGACAGAGAGGAAGATCTTCTGTCCGATGATTCACTCTCCAAGTGACCGCCAACGGCTAGTGCTATGCCAATCTGAAGTCAGGAGCCAGGAACTTCCTCCAGGTCCCCAACACGGGTTCAGGGTCCCAAGGCTTCAGGCTGTCCTCGATTGCTTTCCCAGGCCATGAGCAGGGAGCTGGATGGAAAGTGGGGCTGTCGGGATTAGAACTGGCACCCATATGGGATTCCAGCACGTCCAAGGCAAGGACTCGAGTTACTAAGCCACTGTGCCAGACCCCAAATAAGTAAATATTTTGATGGGTATGAATAAATAAATGATGGGTATGAATTTTCACTACTACACACAAATAGTGAACATTCATGCAATCTCTTCTTACTTGTCCTATCAATCTTACCTATATAAGATAGGTCTCACCCAGATGTTACTAGTGCACAAAATGAGATTTGGAGAAGTGCAGAAACTTGTTCAGCTTGTAAAGAACTGATCATAAGATTTAACTCCAAGTCAGGGTGACCCCATAGTACAAGTGGTTTATCACTAGAGAGACGAAGGATCTCCATTAGTGGAGTGAACATCTGACAAGAGGGAGACAACTTGCTCAAACCCATGGCTCCAAAAGGAATCTATTTGAGTCTGGGGAACTGAAACAATAAGTATTCACAGACTTTGGTGCTGTTTTCCATATCCAAAATGCAAACCAATAACTGGACACAAACTGACAGGTTCTGAAGCTGGAAGATGGAGTTCTCCAAGCGCTTCTTCCAAACAATGACCACTCAAACCAGTGATGACCCTCAAGCTTGCTTGATACAGTGGAAGTAGTCTCTCCCTATTCCCTAGCCTCTGAAGAAAGGCCCTTCCCACCGGGGCTAAGCGGAGCCACTCTGCTCCCATGAAGGGTCAAGCCCCACTGTCCAGGGAGCAGTGCAAAGGCCAGCCAGTGGCAGGGAGGGTAGAGACAGGGGGCCCAGGGGTTACCCCATTGCGAAAGGAATCTCCCTGAACAGTTGGGTGGAAATCAGAGATAGAGTTCAAGGGAGAGGAAGAACCCAGGGTGAGGGTGTTCCTGACTCCTGGACTGGGATGGGGTGAAGATTTGATTGCTTGGCAAAGGGATTGTTGAACCTGGAACTTCTACAGAAAAAAAAAAAAAAAAAACATTAAAGAAAGGGTTTGTTTTGCTTGTTTGTTTTCCTGCTCTAGAACTAATCCCACTTAAATAAAGCTAATACCACAAAATCAAATCCTGTATTTTGGCTGTCACTAAAGAGGAGCTATGTCTGCATAGCGATGGAGTCACAGAACCAACGCAGCCTTCACTGCAGTGAAAGGCATGAGAGCCTGGAAAGACATTTCACAGGTCTACCCAGTCCAGAGAGGAAGTCCAGGGATAAACAAGTCATAAATTTTAAATAGTGCGCTATTCCAAGCAATACAAGATGAAATTTCACACTGCCCCTCTCTGGCCTGCCCAGTGTGTTCCTCTAACCCAAACATCCATGCTATAAACACTGCCTATCCATTAGTCTGCTCCATCTCTGATATTAGAATAACCATAAGGGCACAGTGCTTGTGTTCAAATAACCCTTATCTACTCAACTGTGGCCCCAAGGCACAAGAGTAGTGAGATAGGCAAGTTAGCTATGCACAATAAAAACCATAAAGGGCTTCCCTTCATTATAAATATGTTCTTCACCTAATAAAAAAAATCATATATAATGGTGCTAAGATCCACCTCCAATCCACCTCCAGTTAAGATTGTTCATCTGTTATTTATTGTGCCTGATTTACCATTGGTACGTTACAGATGGTAAACACAACAGGAAAAGGCATACTAGCTTGCACCATAGGCTTCTGTACTTTCTATTTTTTCAGGCATCCACTTGGGAGGGGTCAGTCTTGGAAGGTATCGTTACTGTTTTTTTAAGTGAATATACTCACTTACTTATTTCTAGGGGACCATCCTTGATAATGTTATGGGTTTGCCACTCTGCCAAATCTGAGTCCTGTACAGAAGAATTGGGTTTTCTCAGTCCTGCAGAACCCCAAATAAAACACTTGTACTGGGCTTACAGTGCAAGCTACAGACCAGACCCTTCCATTGGGTTTTCATTACCCTCTCCCACCCCTGTCAACCCTGTGTGAGGGCTGGTCTAAGTCTGTCCCCTGCTTTTAGTTCCTTGCTGATTGAAGTGAGATGTGACTAGCACACACCCACATTTTACCTGTGCCTAAAACAGTCCTTCCCTCTTCCTTGTTCTACAACCTTGGGTAATATGTGGTCTGTGTCCCCAGCTACATCTGGCTTTAACCTGATAATCTACTGCCTCAGAAAAACAGGTCTATATATTTTCAGGTAGCACTGAGCAGTAACCACGTCTTTGCTGCATGCATCCATGCCAAAGCACAGGTTGTGTGATTTCCAGCCACCTACTGCTGGAAAGCAGCCTGGTCAGGGAGGATTGGGTAGGCACCACAACTATGGTGGCTTCAACATATAATCAATGTACGCGGTTTATATGATGTAAAGGACTGGTAGGCAGCTTTGTGCTGTCATCAGTAATCCAAAATTGTCCTGACCACTCTACTGAATTCCAGATGCAATTTGTCTTGTGGCTCCTGAGCAAAGTCTGGCTTGAAGTGGGTTCAATGAGGGTGTGTGGTTATGCAGAACTAATAAATCATGCAGAAAGGAAGTTATTTGCAACCTTCCTAGACAAGAGTCTCTGAAAATAATAAATTTGTGTTAATGTGATTAGTAAGCTAGGTGGGACTATCACTTCCTATTCAACATTCTATCTTCAGCCAATTTAACACAAACAGGACAGGCCTAAGGGATTTTCTGCCATGTAGTTTCATCTAGAAGATAGGTGCAGTCCTTGGTCATGTCTCTGCCTTCTTCACTGGGAAGTTGGACAAACAGACCACTCTCCCCACAGCTCACCCCTGGGCTACACACAGTGACATCCACTCAGGCAGCCTTGGCCAGGACTGATTCAGGATATCCTATCCCCCTATCCTTTCACTGACCGCAGGTAGCCAGTCCTCCTTTGCCCTTGGGTTTCCAAGGAGCAATTAGAGGCCAGTCCAGCAGGCCCTGACTACAGACACAAGTATCCATTCACCTGAGGACCCCTTTCACTGACCTTGTTCTGAGGAATGAGTCCCCATGGTCTTTCTTGGGAAGATGGTGGTGTTGATGGGCAAGACACCCAGAGCTTCAACAGCTCCCTCTCAAACTCTCTTCTTGGGGCTTCTCAACCCACTCTGGAGCCCTCTGGTCCCTCACTGTGGGCAGAAATTAAAGGCTCCAAAAGCTACTTCTTAGACCTTCAAGATGGCAAATCCTCCCGGGTCTCTCTCTCTCTCTCTTTTTTTTTTTAAGATTTATTTTTATTGCAAAGTCAGATGTGCAGAGAGAAGGAGAGGCAGAAAGATTTTCCATCCATTGGTTCATTCCCTCAGTAGCAGCAACAACAGGAGCTGAGCCAAGCTAATATGAAGCTGGAAGCCAGGAGTTTCTTCTGGATCTCCCACGCAGGTGCAAGGACCCGAAACCTTGAGCATCCTTTACCACCTTCCCAGGCCACAAACAATGAGCTGGATGGGCAATGGAACAGCTGGGACATGAACCAGTGCCCATTTGGGATCCCATTGCATGCAAGGCAAGGATTTAGCCACTAGGCTACTGTGCCAGGCTTATCGTATCTTAAATCTCATTTGAATATACACATTCATAGAGTTATCTCTACAAGATGTCACAGAAATTTAACCTAGACCTCACTCCAGGTTCAACAAATGCATGTCCTTGTTGTGCTACCTTTTCTACAGCTGAAGTGAAGCTTCATGAAGGATGATAAAGGAAAGATGACTCTAAACCAGTAAATCATGTGACCACTTTCTAATGGGATGCATAAGAAGGCAGAGTTTCCCAGCATTGATCAGGCATTTGGGAGTTCTTTTTCTCTGTCTCTCTCTGTCGCTGTCTGTCTGTCTGTCTCTCTTTTTTTAAGGAAGCCAAACTTCTGAACATCTCAATCAGAATCTCAAGATACACAGCCCTGAGGGTCTGCATTTTTAAGAAATTTTGGGGGTTATTCTTAAATCACACTGCAGTTTCAGGACTCAGGGATCAGGAAAAGAACTCTGTACTAGAAGTCCAAATGTCTGCAAATTTGCCACTGACTGTCTGCATCTGTGCAGTAAAGTCATTTGATAGTTTTGAGTCTCTTAGCTATAAAATCTGTAACAGTCCCCATCCTGCCTTCTGGGCTATGCCAATCGTCTTTGTCCCTTCTCTGATAATAATGACACAATACTACAGCCGAGTTAAGTTATAAAGAAGAGATTTGGGGCCCACAGTTCTAATCTCCAGAGCCAATGACCTGTATCTAGTGACACCTTCTTGTTGGCAGGGTCCGAGGGATACAGGACAGCACAGGATAAGACAGGGAGAGAGTCCATGAATGTGTCTTCTTCTTTCTTTCCTCATACCTTCTACACCCAGTCATGGGGCTCCCCCCTGATCACCACGGCTAATTTTAATCACCTAGCAAAGGACACACCTCTAAACACCTTAACTGGATGAAGTTTCCACACTGTTAATATCCCACAATGAGGATTAAAGTTCAACTTGTGAGTTTTGGAGGGGCCAAACCATAGCATTGGTGCAGCAATCATCCAATACATAGGGAAATTTGCCTTGCAAAACAGACACCACCATGACCACAACCATCTGACAAAGAGTTTCCTCTGTGTTTTTTTGGTAGTTATGTGTGTATGTATGTATTTGAAAGGCAGGTGGTCATAGACAGAGAGAGAGGTTCTATCTGCTGCTCAAATTTCTACAACTGGGCTGGGCCAAAGCCAGGATACAAGAACTTAGGCCAGGTTTCCTATATGAGTGACAGGGCCCAAGTACTTGAACCATCACCTGCTGCTTTCCAGGGTACACATTAGCAAGAGGCTGGAATTGAGAACATGGCCAGGATCCGGACCCAAAAACTCTGATGCAGCCTATGGACATCCTAAACAGCCCCTGAATCACTAGTCCAAACACCCACTCTTGAAAGGCATTTCCTTACTGAAAATCGTTAAAGCAAGCTGGGCTAACAACAATAACAACAACATTACTTTTGCCATAAATAATCAAGTAGTCTTTGGCAGAGCTGCCAGTCCTCTGCTGGGAACTGCTTCAAGTTCCAGACTGCTTCTTGAATAAGTATTTGGAAGTGGCAGACAAACCACAGCCTCCCGCGTTCTGGAACAGGAGTCAGCAAATTCTATAAAGTTCAGAGCTATATATCTCTCACCATATGCTCTATTATTACAACACAGACAGACAATCAGAAAGTGTAACTGCACCACCCAGACACACAGTCGGCTACCTATGGGCTGCAATTTGCCCAGCCCTGTGCTAAAACAAGGACCTTCCAGCTCGTTGCAGCTAGCACAGGAGCCAGCTTACCTACGCAACCTTGGCAGTGGCCCACGCTGCCTTCTCTTTCCAACTCTGGGTTGAGTGACTTCATGTCAGCAGTTCAATAACAACCATGCTGGGAGCAGGTTTGCCATGGCAACTAGCAACACTGCTGAGTTCTGTGCACCCCACCACCCCAAGAGCAACACACTTGCCAGGGTAACATGGGGGTGTGTCCACCGGGAGTAGGGTGGAGAGTGAGACTGGGATGTGGGAAGAATCTAGGAGAGGTCAGTTCCTGTTTTATTTGGTTCAGACAAGTTGTCCAATTTTGTGTACATTTCATAGTACCCACATTTCAAGATGTGTCCTCAATTTTGTTTAATTGATTGGGGTAACTAAGATTTTTAAAAATTTTGGAAGGGCAGGCTTTTGGCTAAGTACTTAAGCCCCCACTTCGGATGCCCACATGCCACATCAGAATGCCTGGATTCGAGGCATTTGAACACCCAGCACCACTCCCAATTCCAAAGTCCTGCTAATGTGGACCCTGGGAGGCAGCAGTGATGGTTTAAGTTTGTGGGTCCCTGCCACTCACATGGGAGACCCAGACTGAGTCATGAGCTCGGGGTTGGGTCTTGGGCATTTGAGGAATGAACCAGCAACTGCAAGTTCTCTTTGTATCTCTCTCTCTCCTATTTTTTTTCCCTCTGCCTCTCTACTTCTGAAACAAGTAAGTTCTCTCCTGTAGTAAATCTTTCTTAGGCACAAACATTTTATCCTGTGTCTACATGTGCCTCTGTGGTTGCTTCTTCATATACATCAGAGCGAAGTATACATGAAACTGACATTCAAGCAGAAGACAGAGACACCAAGTAAGCACATTGTAAAGCATTCTATGACAAACCGTATGGCTAGGTAAAAGAGAAGTGGATGATGCTGGGGGTAGGGCATGGGCTACAGCATTAATGGGAAGTCATACTTGTGTGACCTGAGGCCATTCTAACTTTTCCAACATAAATTCAACCACAACACACTTGTGTTTTTTGCAAGGAACTGGGACATCTGAGATCTTGGTGGAGCCTCATTGGAAGGAGGAACGTCTAGCACTCTGCCCTCTTGTGGTATATTACCAGATTAGAAGGAAGTGAGGCAGGATGCAGCCTGTCCCCTTCAGCCTACAGGATCAGCTATGAAAGGCCATACTCAGTAGCAAGCTCCAGTTCATTTTGGTTGATCTCTCATGGAGTCCGGGTCCTTCCTGCAGTTTAACATCCCTGACTCAGAGGCTAATTTGAATAGTTGTTTCTTAGTTGGGAGAGAAATTTCATGATGCTATAAAGGCATGATTTCTTTCCAATGCATATTTAAGGTTTATTTTATTTGCTTGACAGAGTGATCAAGAGGGGAAAAAACAGAAAGAAAGAGATCTTTCATCAGATGGTTCACTGCCACACCCCCCCCCCAAATGGCCACAACAACTGGGGCAAGAGCCAGATGAAAGCCAAGAGTTCGCAGCTCCATGCAGGTCTCCCACATAGATGTCATGGACTTTTCCTAGGTACATTAGCAAGGAGCTGGATTAGAAACAGAGCAGCTGGGCCAGGCACAGTAGCCTAGCATGCACCAGGGTCCCATCTGGGCACCCGTTCAAATCCTGGCTGCTCCACTTCCCTTCTAGATCCCTGCTTGTAGCCTGGGAAAGCAGTAGAGGACAGCCCAAGGATTTGGGACCCTGCACCTATGTGGAAGACCTGGAAAAATCTCCTGGCTCCTGGCTTTGGCTCAGCTAAGCTCCAGCCATTGCAACCACTTGGGGAGTGAACCAACAGATGGAAGATCTTTCTCTCTGTCTTTTCTTCTCTCTGTAGATCTGAATTTCCAATTTTAAAAAATTAATAAACCTATGCTTCATTTATATATATATATATATTATGCATATGTATATATGCTTCATTTATATATATATATATATATGAAGCAGAGCAGTCAGGGCTCCAGTTGGCACTCTGATATGGGGTGTAGGTATCACAAGCAGAGGTTTAACTTGTTATGCAACAATGCCCACCCCATGGGGACACATTTTAAAATGCTAAAAAATACCACATACTTTTTCTACCACTGAACTTGTGGATCTGGCCTTGGCAGAGCTCCTTCTGAGGCAATGTGTGACTGGGACACTGGCATCACTCCTAGTTGACAGCTGAAGTTTATTTGCTTCTCTGGCATCCATATACCTTGCTCCTGTGACTCGCTTTGCAATTCTACTTTGAGGAATCTCACTGACCTCAGTGAACACCTTGTAGAAGGAGTGTAGGCCAAGGAGCATTATTTTTAACTGATCAAGAAGTGGACCCAGGAGCCAAACTAAGGCATCCCTGGCTTATCACTTCTCCACCTGAGGGGTGGGACCCAAACCTCCTGGATCCTGTCATTGACAGTCCAACAGGCATTTCTGACACTGCGACTACAGCATATTCATCAACTTGGGAGGTCATCTACACTGTGGGCCCAACAACGGTCCCTCCCCTGACACTGGAGCTAGGTTATCCTACATGTCAGGGAGGACTTTGCAGCCTAAAGTTGGGCATCATGTAACAGGAATAACCCTGGATGGGCCAAGCAGATTAGGTATGAATGACAAGAGCACTGGTAAACCCAAGGGGAAGGCAGGAAGATCACAGTGCAACAAAAGCCAGAAAATGCAAGGAGATGGCTGAGATGCTCCCCAGGAATCTCCAAAAGGAATACAACCATGCTGACCCTGTAGCCCTGCGATACGGACCCTGGAGTCCCATGTCAGAAGGACCTCCAGGGCTATTAGATAATATGGTGCATTGGGACTCCATTTCAACAGTGTCAGACATGAGTTAGCTGCCTTCCCTGCTGCCCCCGTCCTTTAAAAAATTTATTTATTTTTAATGGAAAGAGTCAGATGTACAGAAACAAGGAGAGAAAAAGATTTTCTACCTGCTGGTTCACTCCCCAAGTGGCTGCAATGGCTGGAGCTGAGCTGACCCAAAGCCAGGATCCAGGAGCTTCTTCCAGGTCTCACACATGGGTCCCAAGGCTTTGGACCATAGTTTGCTCCTTTCCCAGACCGTAGGCAGGGAGTTGAATGGGAAGTGGAGCAACCAGGACAGGAACCACTGCCCATGTGGGATCCCAGAATATGCAAGGAGAGGATTTAGCACTAACCCATTGCACTAGACCCTCCCTTCAGTTTTAGTACACTTCCTTCTATGCAAGCCAAAAGTTATTGCTACTACTTGTAGCTGAAGAGATAAAACTGATGGATGATTCATTCCAAGCTTTATTCTCCAGCCCTCACTCTGCTTCAAGGCTCTGCATTCTTGGGCTGCCAGTCTGCCTAACCCCTTTTCAAGGCCCTGATCTTGTTCAGGAAGGGATTTTGCCCTGTGGACAGCTCCTCCCACTGCTGTCTGCTCATTCTTCTGATCTCCCAGCTGTCACTTGACCCAGATTGCTTATCTCTGTGTCTCTCCGACTTGTCAGGTCACCTGCTGTCTGTCTGGGACCCACCCACTGGGCTGCCTGGAGACTCTGCTACTTTTTGGTTACATGCCACACGCTCAACACACACTCAGCCACTTAGCACTTCTGCCTTAGGATCCACTCCCCCAGCACCCACCCTAGAAAGAGGTAATATTTTTGAGTTTTTAAAAAAGATTTGCTTACTTTTATTGGAAAGACAGAGTTACACAGAGAGAAGGAGAGACAGAACAATTTTTCTATCCACTGTCCCACTCCCCAAATAATTGTGATGGCCAGAGCTGGGCCAGCCAAAAGCCAGGAGTTAGGACATTCTTCTGGGTCTCCTTCATGGGTGCAGAGGCTCAAGGTTCAGGCTCTCCTCCATTGGAATGGCTAATTCTTATACAGAGCATGCACGGAACTGCTCCTTTCTGCTGCAAGTTTGCAGGTCAGCCTGGTTGAGTCATGAGATATGATGCACTTTGTGAGTGTCTGATGATTCCAGACAGCACTACCCAGGCACGGTCAAGCTCATTCCAACACAGAACTGCATAATGACACAGTTCTTGCCATAACCTAAAAATACCAATCCTTCAAGGTTGAGTAAGAAATGAAACCTACCAACCCAGGGTTTCAGGAAAAGGTTCTGTGTTCTTCTCTGGCGGATACTATTGGGAAGGAAAGCAGAGGAAGGCTTTAGTCAGGAAAGACTCACAGAACAGAGAGGGGGAGCAGATTCAGAGACAAGTTGAATTTATTATAAAGAAATAAACGCAAAGAAGTAACCAACTACCAATTTGTGGACAAAAGAAGCATGGGGCAGAAGGCTCAGTTGTTCAGAAGGCTGGCCTTTGAGTAATTTTAGGGTCTCAGTGTGTTTTGAGGGGTGGAGGAGATAAGAGACATGGAAAAGTGGGCCAGGGGAATCCAATAGCTTTTCACTGGCATTTTCAAACTTGATAGATTTGGTCCTCTGGGAAGATGGAAGGAAATGCAGGCAGGTTAGAACGGCTCTTCTCAAATAGCTGACAGTTGTGAAAGTTCTATTAAAACATAGTGCAAAGGTCATGGGGAAGACTGCATTTGGGATTTTTAAGATTCATTTATTTTTAAGGTAAAGGCAGATTTATAGAGAGAAGGATCTTCCATCTGCTGACTCACTCCCCAGATGGCCACAACAGCTGGAGCTGAGCTGATTTGAAGGCAGCAGCCAGGAATTTCTTCCAGATCTCCCATGCAGGTGCAGGGTCCCAAGATGTTGGGTCATCCTCTACTACTTTTCCAGGACACAGACAAGGAGCTAGGTGGGAAATGGAGCAGCTGGGACACAAACTGGTGGCCATATGGGACCTTAGCACATGCAACTTGAGAACTTTTAGCCACTAGGCTACCACACCTGGCCCTGCAGTGAATTTTTGTTTGTTTTGTGCCAAAACCCTTCAGTGAACTTTTAAAGGGGAACAAAAAACCCACACCATGTTTGCAAGCAAACAGGCAATGGTACATCATGGGTTTTCAATGCGTAAATTACTTAAATGGCTGAATTTGCTGGAGTTCTCACTCTTGTAAAATAAAACTCAATGTGTTTCCTTCTTCCAACTTTGTTTGTCATTGCCACAGGTTCACCAGAATTGCAGGAGGTGCACATGAACCACCCGGGGTAAGCAGCTGACTCCAGTGTGTCACGGGAGCCCACCTTAGCCCTGTAGAAGATAAAGGGCCGGCGTGCTGGCTCCTTCTGCTCAGCCAGCTCCATGAGCTTCTTCTTCTGCAAGATGAAAGAGATTCATTCACTAGTACAGGCTTAGATAGGGAGAACAATGCAACACATGTGCTCTTGATCTAGACCTGGGCCCCAGAGAAGAAAAAAAAGATAGAGGACAGGTAGCCCCCATGGGGAAGCTTGGGTTTGGGCATTGAAGCCTTGGCACTGGCGTTTAAGGAATGATAAACAGTCATGCCCCCTCTGCCAGAATTAAAAAACAAACTGACAGAGAGGAGCTGCAGGAATCCGATGCACACTGCAATATCAGCTCTATAGTTTTTTAAAAAAATATGTTAAAGAACATGGCTTTAATCCAAAGCCAAAACAGAGCTTCCTAGAGCTCCCATCGAGGACCCTCTGCCCCCACATCTGTCCCAGAATCCAGCAGTGAAAGGTTCGGGCCCTCCGCCATATATGCTGTCTGCTTCAGGGAAGGTCAGTGTAGGAGACACAGCCCATCCCAGGATGGCCATCCGGAGAGCACATAAGGCTGCTTGTGCCTACGGGGCTCCTCTCTGGAGCCTCCCCACTGTGAGCTGCTTCCTTGCTCACATGACAGGAATCAGTTGAGAGGGTGCTCCTGTACTCTGGGCCAAGATAAGAATGTGCAAGGAGAGTCAGAGGCATGGAAGAGCCTGGCTTTCCACTTTAACATTAAGGTCAATGAGGGCACAAGAAATTGGCTGACAGATCACCTTCAGACAAAGGGATGGTCTCCTTTTCCCACAGTCCTTCTCACAGCAGAGGCAGAACTCTTCATTGTTAACTGCCAAGAGAACCGGGCTCCCTCTGTCAGCTTTTGCTGAGCGCAAACGTGAGGGTAAAATGAAGAAGATCTCTAGAAAAATGCAGTCAGGAAAAAAGTCAGTACTCTGAGCAAGGAAAAAGTCCCTCATTGGTGTTGGGGTCCCAGGCTTTGTGGTCCCCTTCTGTTCTCCTGCCCTAAACCCCCTCTCCCTAACACCCAACCATCTGGCTCCTTCTTCCTTCCAGAACAACTCCCCTCTGATCTAGTCATTATAACAGACCGGCCCTCTGACTCCCCAGGTTCCTGGAATCCTCCCTGCCATTGCTATCACCTACAGTGGTTCATGATAGAGCTGAGCCCATGTACAAGGAGGTCTGACCCTGCTGTGGGTATAGGAGGGCAAGCAGAAAACACAACCAGACTAAGAGTCACCTGGGCGTGTGTACTGCTTATTTGGAACTGCTTTCAGGATCTCACAGTCCAGAACCAACACTTTGTGATCTTCATCTTGGATGTTGAATTTCTGGGCCTCTCTGGGCTTCACCATTGACCCTAGACCAACAGAATCGACATTGATACTGCATCACGGAAACCAAAATCTCAGCCCTTTTCCCATCAGCCCCAGCTCTCCACCCTACCTCAATATTTAGAACCACAGCTGCTAACTATTTCTTCCATGTCAAGGCCTTCTGACATGATTGGAACAAGCAATGCAGCATTGTGCATAAGCATATTGGTTCCATATTTTGACAAATGAATTCAACATCAAACTTTGCCTCTTGTTGTTTTAGGCTCTAGGACAAGTTACTAAGTACTCAAAGGTTGATCCCCTCATCTAGGAAACAAGAGTAACAAATTACCTGCCTGAGAGAGGTAGTGAGCATTTAAGCACTCCTTCCAAGGAGTCTGACCTTAAACGGCGTCTGACCTATAAGAAGGCCCAGGAGGTGTCAATTATTCTTCTTCCAAACCCTCTGGGTAGGGCTCTCCTGCCACCAGCTGTGCCCAGGGGGAACAGAAACCTGTACTTTCTGGGTTGAAAAAAGTGATCATGGAAGAATGAGGGCGAGAAACTAAGACAGGAGACACACAGAAGCCCAACACTGGACAAAATTGAGCTGAGATGCTGCCACAGTGGCACAGCGGGTTGAGCTACCATTTTTAGTGCCAGCATCTCTTATGGGCACCAGTTGCAGTTCCAGCAGCACCACTTCCAATCCACCTCTTTGCTAAAGCACCTAGGAAAGCAGTGGAGGATAGCTCAAATGCTTGGGTTCCTGCACCCACATAGGAGACCTGGAAAAAGCTCTGGCTTCAGATCAGCTCAGCCCTAGTCATTGTAGCAATTTGGGTAGTTAACCAGTAAAAGGTAGATTCTCATTCTCTCTCTGTCTCTCTCTCTTTCCAGCTCCTTCTTTCTGTTACTCTCTTAATTATATGTATTTAGGGAAACAAAATGAAAGTCTTTAAAAAAATAAGTGAGCTATAGAGGCTATTTAAAAAAAAAAAACCCAGGGCTGGCCATGGAGGAGCCTTCAGAAGAGGAAAGACCATCCATCCACTACAGTGGCCAGAGCTTTCCTGGAGCAGGGGCTCCTGGGAGCTCCTTCAGGTTGTTGTTATCTGAAGTGAATCCTGCACAGGGAGCCTGCACTCCTGGCCTCTGATGAGGCAGGTGACCTGTCACGCAGCAAGGAGCTCAGGCATTTGTTTGCTGAAAGGCAGGAGTCTCCATGCCAGGCCAAAACTGCTTGGTATGGGTGGGTGTAAGATATCAAATATGCTACCGCCCTGTATGATACCTCAACGCAAGTGTCTATGAGATGGCTGTAATGTAGAAGCCATTCCTAGGGCTCCTTCTCCTCCCACACATATCCGCCGCTCTCTACCAGGTGGGCTGTGCTCCTGGGTTCTCAGGCCGGAGAACAGGGAGGAGTCTCCTGCAGCATCGGCTCTCCTGCCACCTCATCACTGCAACCCTCCTTGGCCCCTCTGTCTGTATCCCTCATCTCATCACCCTTGTAGACTCATAAGAAAGTCATCTTTCTAAATTAGGGGTGACCCTCTTCAGTCTCTCTAATGCCCCAAGCGTCACGATACTCAGTAGCATTGCACTAGATGACTGGGCCCCTGCAAATCCTCAGTAACGTACTTTGACATGGAGTCAAATGTGAGGTGAGCCACTCAGCCCTGGCTTGCATCAGAATCTCCTCAGAAGCTTTTCTGGGCCCCAGCCGCTGACACACTGACTCATGGCGCAGGAGCCACTGAACCAACTGAACCCTGAGCCTTTCCATTTCTCACACATCTTGGGCAATGAATCCCCTGCAGATGGAGGTTCAGTGGGTTCTGCTGGTGCCAAGACCCCATTTTTCAAAGCAGTTCTAGGAGCTGTTGCTGCTACTGATTTGAGAACAAGGCCAAGGGCATGTCCAAGGCTCCAGTGTTTTTTCTGCCTTGCTACCCACTGTGCACCACCCAGCTGGTGACATTTTGAGACCACGGTGTCTGGGCTGCTTATCCTGATACTAAAACTCAGTTGGCCTAGACTGTGAACAGACATGCTATTTCTATGAAGCCCAATTCTGGCATTGCCCCTTTATTTTGCTACCTCTTAACTCCTTATTCCACCTGCTCCCTCCATATTTCCCTTTCCTCCTGTCACAGCCTGCTCCAGGCCCTCATCATGTCACACACAGGCCAGCACAGGATCTTCTTCACTGGTATCCTTGCTCTTCCTCCTGGAACCCCAAGCTTCTCAAGGCCACTGACAGGGCTGCTGACAGGGCTTGTGGCACTGGCATTTGTATTCTACAGGGGGAAGCAGTTCTTAAACCACAGCAGCAGCAGCAACAACAGCAGCAATAACAGCAGCAGAAGGAAGAGCAGTAATGGCAACAGCAGCAGCCACAGCAACAACAAGCAGCAACAGGCAACGGGAAATGACACGGTCAGCATTGTGGTGGCTGCCATAGCAGCACAGGAACAAACAGCAGCAGCAGCAGCAGGAGTGACAGTGCTGAAGCAGGCTCTGCTCACATAGACTTGAGAGCCACCATGACCCTCAGCCACCTGGTCTCCTTGGGTCCTCCCTGCCATTTGTGCATGGGAACAGTGAGTCTCAGGGTTGACACACTGACATGAGGTAGTGTTGTACGTGAGACTAAGGGCTTCCTGGCTCTGTCCTGAGCTAACAGAGGTGATGGAGCCTTAACCCTGAGTTGGACAAGCAGGTGTTAGAACACTTTCAATGTTGCTCACTCCCTGTGTCATTTGGGGCAGCTCACTGCTCTTCTCTACTTCTTTGCACATCTGAACAGGGATGATGGTGGCCTCTTCTTCCTGTGTTGTTGCATAATACAGATAGCAGTGGGTAAGGAAGTTTCTGGCTCCATCAGAGAGGTGGTTGGGAACCCTTCCTGCTGTGTGTATTGCCAGAGTCACTCTTTGCTTATCACAATGTTACATTCATCTGTGTAATGACGAAGTCAGTGGCCAGCCTTCTGGGAGTGGCCAGACAGCACTGAGCTGCTCCCTGGGCTCCAAACATTCCTCCCCTATGCCACTCAGCATCTGAGCATTACCTGTCTTCCCTGCAAAGGCCAAGTTCCACCCAAGACTCAACTTTCCTATAGAATCTGCTGAAGATTTGCCTCTTACCTAGGAAATGCCTCCACCCCCTTCAACACCCTTTGGGGTTCCCCAGTCTGGGATTCTCCCTTCCTCTGAGAGGACCCAGCAACACCATCTTTCAAGCCCTCCCCCACAACATAGCTATCCCAATACTTCACCAGGGCCTTACTTGTACAGACAGAATTCACAGAGGGCAGGGGAGGCACTGGCTCATGGGGGCTTCCAAGTGGGCCTGCAATCAGAATCAGAAGTTAGCCAATGCTGTTGGAGCTTTCCAGGGACTTAGGAGTTCCAGGGACTACTTGATTCCTTGGTTCCTTGTATGTATGCTGAGAGATACTACAGCGGACAGATAATGGTCATGACAATCATATGGCCTCCCTGATCTCAAATGGTGGGAAATGGACTTGAAGTTTACAAGGGGCATTGTAGTCCCTCCCCTTACACTGAACGTGTTAGGCTTTCAGGTGGATTGGAGCTTCCTCTCATCTTTCACAAGTGAACATCCATGTACTTTCCCCCACTGAAACATTCAGAATTGACTCTTTTTCCCCATCTACCCTCTGACTCCCTCCCATCACAGGGCTTTTCCTCTGTCTGGGGAGGACGGCAAGGAAGACATACATTCAGAAGCTATGAAGCTTTCCAGTTGATTGGGGGTGAAGGGAACAGTGGGGAGTCAGGAAGGAATGACCTGAAACATTAGTGGGCATTGATCCATTGTCTATTACATGGCGTGCTAGCACCTGCAGCAATACTTCTTTTCCCTCATAAGATTCCTCTGGTCTAATCAAGGTCAGCAAGTAGAAACTGGATTCGTGAACAGCACCTAGCAAAATTCTGCTTCAGGACTTATACCTTGGTCAATGTGAATTTTTCCAAGATTCTCACCTCCTGAGCAGCACTGGGGCTCAGCCTTTTCCTGGTCTTCTGAGTCCATTTTCACTCCTGAATTCTCCTCCAGAAAGGACATTTTTACACATAAAGTAAATAACTAGAAGATGATGAGACGGAGCAAAGGACCTGAGCAGAGAGGGAGGGAATTAGTTATAAGCCTCCTGACCCCAGGACGCTTTGTTGGGTGTGATGAACAGTCCTGAGTGATGAACAGGCCTCTAGCTTTCCTTGCAGCTCAGAAAGACTCACTACTTCCCACAAGGCTTCCTGGGGCCAGACCATGCCCTTCTGTCCACTACCCCACTGGCCCAGTGCTTCACCAGGCCAGTGCCCGCTCACAAGTCACAATATCATTTTTAGAGATCTTAGCAACAGCTTATAAAAATTAAATAAAATAGACAAGTTCAAAGCACATATTTCTCTAGTCATAGAGCTGGCAAATTATAGTTGCTGGGCCAAATCTAGCTTACTGCCTGTGTTGTGTAAAGATTCATTGTAACACAGCAATACCTGTGTACTGTCCGTGGCTGCTTAGGGCTACAAGAACAGAGTTGCATAGCTGAGAAATCACATAGCCAGCAAAGCCTGAAATACGATCTTAGCCTTTCCATAAGACGTTTTCCGACCCTCTGCAGGAACTAACTTTTGTCTGAACAAAGGAAATATCTTTACACCTTTATCATGAATACTGACATTCCAAAGATCCCAGGAGGCACAGCTGGGGGAATAAATCTGGTGGATCCTTAAGCGCAGGTACAAATACTACTAGATCTCAGGTTGTCCATCATTTAAGCTGCATTAAATCAATAAAGTACAACTGCCCTTTGACACTTGAGAAGGAAGAGAATTTGGTGACATAGGACATCAGCTCAAGAGACAGTCTACAAGGCTGTCAAGATTCCAATAGTACCACTAGAGAATAGAATAATGCCCACAGGCTGAAGGACACCAGACTAACCCTGCGAATTCGCCACCTATGTCAAGACAGATTCAAGTGGCTTCCACAGAACACCCTCAAGAAGCAGTGCATCTGGTCATCTGAGGTTCCTCTCTTTCCACTTAATACATTTAAAGTACTGAGTTCCAAAACTCCTTTCCAAAAGCTAGTACATTTTAGACCAGGAGATAAGCCTTTTCATCCATACAAGAAAGTGCTAACATTATCAGAGATTACAGGTTTAGAAGCCTTATGGTCTGAGCGGGTCTCAGAGATAATAATTAAAGACACGTTTCTAACAGAGAAAAGTAAAGCAAGCTGCTGTGGACTTCTGCGCTTTTCCCTCCTTGTCAGTTGGCCTTCTGCATCCACAGGTAAAAACCACTTACCTGAACCAGGAATCCCAGAGGTCTGTGGCTCTGCCGTGGACCACCACTCTTTATCTCCTTAGTGTTAAAACTCTTTGGTTATTCCTCCCTTTATATAATCATTTTGGGAGTGACTATGCAAATGTGACGGCAACATTTCTTTAGTCAATAATAAGCAGCATCATAGATTATCACATACCGCTGATTCCAAGAGTACAGATTCCATGGGCCAGTATCACAAGGGCTGTGTCACAAGTGTCCAGTCTAGTCTGACAGAGAAGGTGTAGGTCACAGACACAAGCAAAGAAAGGAAAAGAAGACACAAGGTTCTGGCCAGCCAGTGAATATGGCTGAGAAGTTGGAAAATTCTTTGCTCTCCTGAAGGTTCTTTGCCCCACCACAGAATTCAAGCAAGTGGAGCCTCCATGTCCCAGAGGGAAAAAAAATATGCTCCTTTCACGTCTTTTCCCAAATGTCCTCTAGCACATGACTGACCCTGCCCTGCACCTGTCCTCTGCACCATCTTCCCCAAAAGTGACATGCCAGGTCCCCTCAATGGGTTATCCTTCATCAAGCCCATCAGGTACCAGCCTCTGTCTACAGCCTATTTGCTATTCACTGTCATATTCTTCCATTTTGCTTTGCCTGTGCTCTTGCCTGGCCAATTCTAAGGAAAATCCATTTAGCCAATGAAGATAAAGTTATTGGCCTACCACCTTAGCACATCAACAACACAAGAACAGCAGTAGGCAACCACAGAATCCTCAGTGTGTGGGTGTGGGCTCGGTCCATTTCTGTTTTTATCTCCAACTGAACACTTTGAGGATCCTATGATGAGGTACAGTCCTTCCAGCTTTACAAACAAAACACAGTATACTTCAGAGGTTAAAAAACTTACCTGGAGTCATATTTCTGGTCACATAGCTATCTTTCAAGTATGATTCTAGATGAAGGTTTCATCTTCTAGCCTTTTACCACGGACATATTTATATGCAAACACAGACATACGTTTGGCAAGGTGTGTTGTAATGTACTCTTCCTACTTAACTCTTGCCTTTTCTGCCCAGTGTGATATCACCCAAATCATTTCATTGTATCAATATTTTTCTATAAGATCATTTTTAATTTTAGATATTTAGTATTTGTTTAAAGACCTAGAAAATGCAGCTCCCTAAATTGCCAAACTAGAAATAAGAATTTGTCCATTGAATTTCTAATAAAGAGAAATATATCTTTGGAGAACATCTTGATCAGCCCCTTGGGGCAGGCAAAAAGACAGAGTTAAAGTCAAAACAGCCACTAGATTATTGTCTTGGAAGGCAGTGGTTTGACCAGAGGCAGTTTTCCTGTGCTGATTCTAGAAAGAATGAGGATATGGGAACTGGGGAGTGGGGTAGCCTGGTTCCACTCTCAGTATGAGCAAGTTGGAGATGCATAGGGAGATGCCAGGTTGGGATGTCTACAAAGTAGCTTTTCAGAGATTACACCCAAGTGGTCAGTATTGTGAAGTATTCAGTATAAATGCCCACCCTGGTGGCCCTAACGAAACCTTCACATCAATACTGATTATGCTCAAGAACACTGTTGACTTGTGGGAGGTTGAAGAATGAGGGACAACTAATGTGTGTCAAATATAGATAAATCCTAACTTAACAAATTCCCCAATTTTGATCATTTAAGCTATTTTCACTTTTATACCATCATGAGTACACTGTGTGTGCTAAATCTTATATTTTATGTATAACTTATATGCATATATAAATGCAAAAATATTTATAGATTATTAATATGATTGAAATTAAATGTTCGCATCTATGACAGCGTAGTAGTTTAGGTTAAACCTCTGCCTACAATGCCAGCATCCCATATGGGTATTGACTGAAGTCCCTGCTGCTTCCCTTCTGGGCCAGCTCCAACCAAAACACCTGAGAAATCACCAGATCATGGGCCAAATGCTTGGGTTCCTGCACCCAAATGTGACACCCCGGAGACGCTTTGGGTTCCTGACTTCAGTCTGGCACCTACCCGGCCATTATGACCATTTAAGGAAAAAACCAAGAGATGGAAAATCTCTTTCCCTCCCATTTTCTCTGTAACTTCCACTATTCAATTAAAATTTTTAAAGTCTTTGCACCTGTCATTGATTATGAATTAGTATAATTCTTAGATCCATGATTGATTTCTGGGTCACATTCTGTTTGTATACTTTTGGCATTTTGTTTTGCAGTCATCTGTAAGAAAGCTAACTTACTGGATAACATTCTTTTTCCAATAACTGAGGCTATCACTATTGAGACTTTTTGACTTTTGTGTATTTGTGTATGTAAACTTCATGTGTACTAATTGAGGGAACATGTCATTTGGTGTGTGGGGGGTTTTAGTGTGGATGATTTTGTGCATTTTGTCTGCATTATGAGTATATATTTCATGTGAATTGGGGGTATTGTGTGTTGTGTATGTTGTGTGTGTTGTGGTATTCTGAGTTTAGATGTGTTATGTGTGTGCTGTGGGAAGACAAAGATGTACCCTGGATTTACAGGTAGGACGTCCCTTTCTTTGAGACAAAACAGAACAGAACCTGCAGCAGCTCTCCATTCTCCACTCCAACCCAGCTTCCCAAGCCCAGGGTGCAGAAGCACCAAGAGATATCAGTCCTTTTAGGAGAATTCCAAGAAGATTCCGCTGTGTAGCTGCTCTCCCCAAGGAGTCTGGCCATTTTCACAGCCACTCCAGTAATGTTTCTGAAAAGATGAGTGATGCCAACTTTAAATGGCACTGAGTCAGAGAAGCACAGGGAACTTACATGAGCAAACCCTGGAAACTCTTTTTGCAGGTTCCTGCCTCCTGCAGCCTCCTCTAGCTTCTTCACCAGATGGGGTGGGACTGCTGTCCTTCCAGGACTGTGGTGGCCTGTGTCTCCCAATCCACTGACCAGCCTTTCTGAGGCCGAGCACTTGCCAGCCAACTTCCACCCCCGCACATACATATACCTTTAGCTTCTGGAAGCTCTAGGTCTTCTGTCACACACAGATTGGTTTCAGAAACCAATTTCCATGTAGTTGTTGTTGATGACTATCTGCCACAGGATCTGAGTGTTTACCAGCTTGGGTTGAGCCATGCTGAAGTCAGGAGGCCAGAATTCGATTCAAGTTTTCCATGTAGGTGGCAGAGAATCAAGTACTTGGGCCATCACCTGCTGCCTGGCAAGGTGTGCATTAGCAGGAAACAGAGCTTGGACTCAAACCCAAGCACTCCAACATGGAATGTGGGCATCTCAAGCAGCATCTTAACCACTGCACCAGATGCCCATCCCTACTTGCATTTTAAGTCATTGTTTTGTGCAAAGACATCTGTGCTCTAAAATCACCCCACAGTGACTCCAGCAGTTTCAGTCACAACTTCCAGTCTCTGTGACATGACAGGGTTAAAGCAAAGCCTATGATTATTCCAAAGCAACCTGAGCACGATGGCAGAGCAGAATTCAAAAGCTTCCCCTGCCCCAACCCTCTGGCATGCATCACCAGCCCACCTGCAAATTGTAGGGTCCAGGTGTTATCCCCTCTGCAGGCTTTTTTTTTTTTAATCCACCCAGAGATTCTCCTGTTCTCATGGTGAATTCCTGGAATCCATACTGTTCTCTGCTTCTCTAATTGGTTTTGGAGATCTGTAGCCTGTTCTAGTATGCCATCACAGCCAACAGCTGTGTATCACTGAGAGCATTAGAACAGTTAGGCGCAGGCCTTTCTGATGTAAAGAATAGATGTGGGTCCTGAGTCTGTTGAGATATCCAGAGCAACAACACAAGA